TCCGGCGGGGCAGCGACCTCCCAGTATTTGCGGTCGGCCGTAGGGCCAATGACAAAGAACTGTTCATGGGCGAGTGCAGAAATGAGATCTTGAGCAGAGTTGAAATATAATTGAGGCACGTAAATAGGAACAAGAGCATGAGAAGCCATGTTCTCACTCTTCAACATAACCAGCTTGTTCTCGAATCCGAGGTATCCTCGAGATACGCTCATAAAACATTGCTAGGCGATGTATCTATGTGAAGTCGTTGTAAACAAGCCTGGCCAAGAATATTGCTCAAGTCTGACAACCAGCTCTCTGAACATCAAGGTAATGATCACTTGCGAAACATGAAAAAGAAAGTGTACCCATAACAAAGCAGGCGTGAAAGAGAAGATCACCTGAGGGCCAGACGCCTTGTACCCATCCCTCAGCCTATTCATCTGCCTCCCAGGGCTCCCTCTTGCGTGTATGTCCTGGGACGAGGGCGACGGAGGGGTAGTTCCAACAGCTAGCGCCCTGCAGTGCTCAAACAGCTCAAGTCCTGGCGCCCAGGCAACTCCGCTGTCAAAAATATTCGGGGTCATCACTGGTAGCACGCAAAGTACCTGCAGCTACCAAAGAGCGCCGCCACTTCAATAGTCAAGGCACGCCTGCGTGGTCGAATCCTGGTAGGTCGCCTCCAGATGATACCGCTCCAGCCGGATCCCTACGTCTCTGCATGGAAACCACAGTTTGCAGGTGACCGGGGGAGACGTGGTTTATACACATCTTGGAGAGGCACACTGGCGCGGCTCTGTCCGTAAGACGAGGTCTGCTGCGACCCACCATGCTCCTGTTCAGTGCACCGACAAGGATGGAAAGAGCACACCCACAGGATCTTTGGGACGAATTGAAGTGCAGGGACGCAAGCACACGCCTCCCTGGTCCTGGACCTATGCTTGTGTAGGTATTCCGTACTGCACGGATACTTCGCCTAAATGGAGGGGGCGTGTCTGGGTTACATTTTCATCATGGGAGAGACTTTGATTCGTGTCGTAGTTAATCTCGCGTGCCCCGCCTTCCCCCCCTTGTTACTCTGATGACATACCCCGCTAGATATGCAGCCTCCATGGATGATGAATAGCTTTCCTCAAGCATTCGATCCCCTGCCTGGAGTTTTTATGTCGTATGATTCTCGGCTCGCCGTGTAGTATAAAGCAGGAGAGTCGAAGTCAGGATGGCTCAAAGGGCCGTTGACGCTTTTAAGATGAAGAAGGGGCATCCAGCTAAGACCTGAAAGCGTGGGTTCAAAAACTGTGCCGCAGATCTTGTTCTCATTGGCACAGGGTGTAAAGCTGGGAAATTCCATGGGATGTCCTCTCCATAAAATACCCAATCATGCCCTTTCTCAACGCAGTGTCACCTACGTGCTGCATGTCAAAGATACCCAACTTTTTATTACCTCTTGGGGTGTGGGGGGGTGGGGGGGGAAGGGGCGAGCCCATCCTTTTCACACTGTCACTAAATGCACTTTACCACCCTGTGACCAAAAGAAAGCGAACATCTAGCAAGTCAACACATAGATTACTATTTTCATCTGTGCTCCTTCACATGAAAACACTTAAATGAACACAAGATTTTCTTAGTCTTTTCTACAGTTGAAGTTTTGTTATCTTGAATAGTCATTCATATAGCATGAATAGTACAAAAATAGGAAGAGGATGGTACCGAGGTGTTACTCTATCTACAATGTTGGTTTGTTTCTGATCACAGAGCGCCTAGCAACTCGCACAAGAACTGTGAGTGCGCGCCCACTCCACCCCATCTGTTACGGACCACCGACACCGGGTCACGTAGACGGCTTAGTCCCATAACGTGTTCCGGATCCCGGAGGTCAACTGTATTGACAAACCTCACGGACCGATGGGCTGGTTCTGAGAGATCGAAAACCCTTGGACCACCGCATCCTGTCGGTTGGTGAGATATTAGCGATCAGCGCTATGCGGACTCACAGATGTAAGACAGGCAATTTCATCGTGGGTCCTGAGCTGAGTATTACAGGCCGACGAATCCATGCAGAGAGGGGTGGGAGTCCATCACCGCAATGGATAAATATCGTAGTTGTTGATAACGGCGATTCTTCCAAACACCTGAAAGGCTGGTTCTCGCGGCCATGGTTCTGTCAAGAAGGTGCTACAAGTAGGTTGAAGACCGTCAGCTATGGCAATCAGGGCCGGTCACAGGTAATCCATAACACTGTTCGGCTGCCGGCGGAATCAGACCTCAGCAGGGACACGGGGCCGATTCGACTCACATCATGCTCGGACGCAGTCGGCAAGCGGCCCCTTCGATTCATAGACAAGAGTCAGCCATGGGAATAGATTGATGTAGCCGAATTCGGACTCTATTCATCTAGGAAGCAACTGCTGCAAGCTCTTAAGTGTGCTCGAACCAGCTGGAAGTCAGGTGATCCGTCCGCTGGGTCACATGAACCGGTTATGAGATGGTCACCATTCTAGCTTCAACGTCTTTGGGTCTCGAATCTCAGACATTGAATCCTTTAACTACCTCGAAATGGATTACGGACCCTTTAACGGATCTGTAGAACGGACTATCCCAGCTTACCTGGTTGATTAGTACAAACCAGGGATGGGGCTCCCCAGGTCCATCGCTTTCAACGAGAGATCCTCCACTACCTAGTGGTCTTAGGGCTGAGACGCCCTTGGTGGGACAGTCGGCATTTCTTGTTGGAAAACCACCACTGAAGGTCGTCGCGCCACTCCATCTCAAACCAAGTTTCGCAAGCTGGTACGACTGGTTGTTCTTTGGCCAAGATGGCGCTCCCTATGCAAGGCCCGTCGCCAGTCAACCAGAACCCTAACCACAGCGTAGAAGTCGGGTCGACAGTCATAGCTCTTTGTAAGCAGTCAAGTCTGATTTGACCGACACAAGCTGAGGTTCCGTCGGCATAGCGAAGGAGAAGTCCAATAATGATTGGTTTGCCCATGCGTTGGCGATTGCACGGGACAATCTCAACCACGTGCTTAAGCCTGGCTCTGTTCCAGGCGTAATACTCGCCATGACGAGAGAGAGGATATGGGGTTGGCCACTCGACTGCTGGTCTCCGATCTCGATATCTAGGCCGAGGTGATTGGAATCCTAGTCTTCGCACGCCACAAGTCGTCGTCTCAGCGTAAATGTGACTTGTGGCCTTGCCAGGCAGGTCAAGAAGTGTCCACTTAGATCGGCCCCAGTTTGGCCGTGGCTGCACTCCTAGAAAGGTGGAACGTCCTTGATCCGTTACGAGCTGTGCATTGTGAGCAGACTTCAACATGGAACATGAACGGATCAACACATACTAGTAAGCCAATTGCAGTCCTCAGCTCGCCCTCGAATTTCCAAATTTGCGTCAGTACTTCGCCTTCGTGAAGTGGCATGTAAAGCCACATCGCAGCTTCATCCATCGTCCGTAAGGCCTGATAAAAGTCGAGACTCTCTCCGACACGGTGCGCATGGAGCATCAGAATCTCCCAATTCCAACAAAGTGAGTACGCTGTGGTCTGTGGATCGTTACAGGACACTACGGACATGTGATTGCTTGGTTCCGCACCACAAATGTCTTCGAATCGGCTGCACACGGACGAGAGATGCGGGAGGCCCCAGTACATGTCTTGCAAGACTATTGTGTCGTCGACGACAAGCTCACGCAGTTTCAAACCCTGAAAGCTCTGAATTAGCACGCTCGACTAGAATCGCTGCAGTACACTGAAGCTCACGTCACTGCGGATCCGAATGAGGCCACCAACGTCTTCCAGTTTCACGGCTTTCCACCATATGCCAATTTCTTGAACAATCGCGCATGGTTTCGACGAGTCAGCGAACAACAAGCGCCGGATACCGAGGTGATCGCTCGCAATGTACAAGCTGTCGATGGATGTTGAGAGACTTGGGTCAAACAAAAGGAAATCCCGGTTGCCACCAGGCGTGTTCCACAGATGGCCGATGTACTGAACACCCTCGAATTCAACGTGCCTAGCGTAGATCTTCTCCGAAAACTGGACAGAAGTGTTGCCCTCGGTCTCCGCACATGTTTGGCTAGCAAAGTAAACGGCCAAGTGGTGACAAGTCGATCGATCGTGAAGAGCCCAGGCTGCGATGTTAGAAAGCACTTCTCTGGGCAAACTTGAGATGTGGCGACTAGCTGTTCGAATGAGATCAGCTAGATGGAACTGAAACCAGCGAATACGCCATTGATTCGCAATGGCTGGAGGCTCGAATGCATGTGCTACAGCATCAAGAATATTTCTTAATGTTTCCGGAGACGTAACTTCGACGCAGATAACATGGCACCCAATCCGTTGCTCATCATGGTCGCATCGTCCACGACACTGGACATATTCGACATCCAGAGTGCTATCGATAAAACCACCGATGCTATACTTGTACGATGGAGAAGTGTCCCTATCGAATCGCCGTACTAAGGGAGTCAGAGGACTGGGACTGAAAAGGGTGTGGAAGACTTGCCTGCTACTATGTCATCTCCAAGGTGGAGTTCAAAGCGACAAAGTCCGCAGAGCCGTGGTACACAAATAGATCTCGTCATGGCGTTGACTGGCGGATGATGAACGCTTGATTGAGATAAAAGAGCTCGTATGGGATGATTTGTTCAATACGGAGTCAGCTGGTGGCTTGACTGTAAGCCTCTTCAAAATTTCTTGCCGGGTCGGCTGACAGAGCCTGGGATACATACTCCCGCTTGGGTGAAACTCACCGTATACATTCATTACTCGGTTAATCGCATAGTCGAGCCAGCATTGCTCTACAAGGGATGGTTTCCACTCGTTTATATAGATCTACTGCAGGCCTAGCGGTTACTCTAAGCAGTACGACCATACTTATCCCCCTTGCCCGAATATTGCTCTTCTGGTACTATTGCATTGTTTCGGGGCTTAGGCGTCCCTGGTGGGATAGTTGACATTGTCTTTTAGAATACCACCACTCCAGGTCACCGCACCAATCCACCCGAAACCAGTTTTCGCCTTTCGATAGGGATGGTGCTTCCCGTGACTGCTCGATACCAGATACGATAGGCCCATCGCTCGTTAGAGAGAATTTGAACCACATCTTACAATCACGATCAACGCAAATAGGGTTCTGCAGTTGATCTAGCCTTATTTGTCCGACACATGCTTGCTGTCCGTCAATATAACGAAGTAGAAGCCCGCTGATGATTTCACTTCCTTGCCGGTTGCGTCGACATGGAATGATATCCACGACGTCGCCGAGCTTCGCGCTGGTCCAAGCGAAGTATTCATGGCGGCGAAACTTTGGATATGACGAGGTTGGCCACTCAACTCTGGGGCTTGGATTATGATCATCAGGCTTGGGCAACCTGGGCTTGGGTGACTCGAAGCCCAACAAACTACCCAATGCTGTTTTCATTAGATATATCGAGCTAGGGTTTTTGGTGGGCCGGTCAAGCAGAGTCCATTTCGAGCGGCTCCAGCCTTGCTGTGGCTGCACCCCTAAATAACTCGAGCGCTCCTGGTTTGTGACCAACTCCACGATGTCAGAAATTCATTTGATGCA